AGACATGTATTTCGAGATTGATAAACATTCCAGGTGAAGGAATAGATACTGTGGCGTGACATGTATCAGGTGCACATAACTTGACACACCCACAAAGTCAGTTGCCAGTCAATGGAGAGAAGCATCAAAACAAAGTTCACAGGGCCTGCAAATCACGATAAAGAGGCGAGAACTACAACAGTCAGACAGTAACAAACCAGGACAAGCATGTCAGTAAGAAAGCAGCAATTTAAAGTGAAATGATCAGTGACTGCCAAATTCAATCATTGGTGTGCTGAAAATAGGTCGAAACAGCTTAAAACATGTGACTTAAAACTAAAACCTGAACACATCATTTGTGTAATCCAGGAAAAAAAAGAAACATGCAAGTGAACCTGCAGGCCCTGCATCTATGTTGTTTCATTCCTGTCTGGATTCAGGTATTGAAAGTGGCAAAATATGTATGAATGAAGCTAAAGTGTCCTCTGCACGAATGATGCGAATAAACAGGAAGGGAATTCCCTTGACTGTAAATTGGATTCTCAGACAATCCATAAAAGTGAAAGTAGTCCCCTTTGATGGACTTGGCTTAATTTTTTCCAATTAATTATATTGCGGCATTGACTCTGGAAAAAGGACACCTAGTGCAGACACCTTGTCCACAGATGTGGATCAGTCTGAGGATTCTGTTCTTAATTCAATAGATGTAAATTCTTCATGTAAATTCTTGATCCTCTGTACGGCTGTGAGAAGAGTGACTATAAATAGAGGTTTATTGTAGGGCTTAAAGTATCAGGGACCATTTAGCCTGTGGAGTCAAAGCTGCCTGACCGTCCTGTGGAGTTTCTTTCCTGCTCATATGAGTATGCCTGTGGTACATTGAACCTGTACTAGATTATCTCTCTGCATGTGTACTGTTATCTCTGATCCTGTTGTCTCTGCAATGATGTCCTCTAACAGGATCAGCCGATCTCCTATGAACCATGTTGTCTGTGTTGACCATGCAGGCAGTTACTTTCACTTGAACACTCACTGAACTTTCATTACATATGCGGTCCGTAAGATCAAAGTCAGTGGTCCTGCCTTGCGTCTCATTGTAAACCTGAGTTGAGGGGACAGTAGCAGCTGGTGTGGTCTGACCTGTCTCTCTTATGAGGAGGAGAAAGATCATGGTGGTTGCTCTTATCCTGACAAAGCACTGAATTTGATCCACTAGACAATTTTTCAAATCTCCAAGCTTTAGAGCCACTGACAAGGCTTTTACAGTAACGAACTTGGGGTTAACAGCCAGAGGGGGATGACAGATGGGGGCGTGCCAGGATCAGAGAAGACAGGAGGGATGCCTAGCTCCCTACAAGTCTAACTAACTGATTATCTATGACCATCTGGAGCACAGTTTCTTCACTGTCGTTTTTCTTGACCCTTTTTAACAACCAGGGCATATTTCTCGAAAGCTGATGGAGATAGTGGCTGACAAGCCTCACAGTGGGAGATGAAAGAGTGAGGACACACTCCCAGCAATCTCTATGTGGATCCTAAGGAGACATAACTTTCCCATAGGATGAGCAATGTTTTTGTACCTAAGGGGGACAAAATGCATTTAGAACCATTAGATTTACCCATGATACTCCACCAGAGAGGAGGTAGCCAAGTTTAGATTTAATTGCAGTAGGTCCATCTTCACGAATGACGTGATCAAGCACAAAATCCCACTAGAAACTGGCACCAACTCACTGAGATATTTTAACTGTTTGTTGTCCTTGACAGGATTTTCCAGCTTAATACCTCTCAGATGCAGAATCCATCTCACTAATATCTGCTGGTTCTGACGGGGCATACCAATAATGGACACAACAATAAACCGCAGTGAAAACATTTCACCATTTTCTGTCATAGTATGAATGGCATGTTCATCATGGTATTTGGCAGCAAATACAACAGTAATGATCATTTATCAGAGAATCTTGTTGATAACATAAAACATCTCTAGTGACAATAGAAGCTTGGCATATTTAATTTTGATAAACTGATGGTACTTAACATGATTTTCAATATGTTCAGTCTGAACATCAATGGAATCAGTTATTTTTCTGTAATTTCTTCTTCACTTTCTAATAATTCCATTTCATAAAATTCTTCCAACAGTTTGATTTTTTCAAGTAAACAGTCAATGGTACTCACAAGTGAAGTTATGTCCTGATTCATTGGTGTTGTCAGTTGGATGATATCAAAAGCCTTTGTACACAGTTTTTGGCTATATTTTAGGTCCAAAAGTTTCTATCCAGGTCACAGCACAAATAACTTTGAGGAAGGTAAGAAAATGATAGGTCACTATAAACTGTGTATTCAAGGTGGAATTGTCATATAAACTGGTTCAAAACACAATCAACGTATGAACAAAGTATGACATTACCAAATTAGTAGGTGGAGTGAGGCCATAATGGAAAGGTCAGTGTGATGCTGTAGTCATAGATACACAACAGTTGGTCCCAAAATTCGAAGCATGACAACTGCTTTAAAAAAGAATGTTGACTTTGGACATTTGCAATGACAATCTAAGGAGAAGAATCTAGTTTGTAGAAGTCATCAACAACACTGAGACTGTCAGATAAACAGCAATCATGGGTTCCATTTGGTGTTTAACAGGGGAGGTGGTAGTTTGTTGTCACCTCTCAAATCCTTGATGCCATTGCTAATCTGGTTGATAATTACATCATCCATGTTTGCGTGAAGTACTTATGTGTTCAAATAGAAAAATAACACTGTTTCACCTGAGTATTCAAACCTCTAGGAACATAATTTCTTCCTCCTCCGTGTTGGCTTGAGTGATTCACATGAGGTGGTAAATTCCTCCTTTTGCCTCCAAAATATGGGGTGTCCTGGGTGCCATTTACCAAACAACTTCATTGCTAAGATTATCCCAAGTCTATGTTAAGGAATAGGAAATGTGGTCGCCATAGTGCTAAGATCGCTTTACTTGTGAGTTTCTTCTCTCTGGGCATGGTTTAAGTCATACCCTTCCTAGGAGTTTCACACCACATGTGAACTGGATGTGTAGTGGGTGGGTCTCAAGTGGAATATGATCCTCTAGCTCCAGTGGTGTCAGGCTCTATGTAAAAACATCGCATGTGAAGACTTAGGCTGACACACAAAACACATGCAGTCCTATAAACATACTCTAACCCCACTTGTTCTCTGGCTCTGGACATTATGGAGGCCGTGCTGGTGACCAAAGCACAAACAAGATGAAAATGTTTATGTGGTGATGACAACCAAAATACAGGGTTTCTGGCAACAATGTATATTTACTGGAGGAGATTAAAGATGATATTATGCCCAAAGCAATAATATTTGAAAAAGGACCCTTTTGATGACAACATTTTGCAAGAAAACCCAAAAGAGAAAAATATCTCTAAACAATTTCCAAAGAGACTTCATGTCAAGACATGTTGTCGCATCAGAGTAATGTCCTAAAAATCTGAGGTCAGTACAGATTGTTAACATAAGAACTGCAGAAAGGTAAGAAATACTGAATGAAATATTTAGAATCAAAGCTGGGCAGATCTTGTTGATTGCTCTGAAAACCCCATCCTGATGTGTTGCTGGAAGCATGCAGACTTTTACGATGTTAAAGGGATGCAAAAGTAGAGGATCCTTTAGGAATTTTGTGAATTATGGACAACAATGTTGAATACATTCAATTCTGAACTGCATATAACTGTTTATAGGTGATCAACATGATCACATGATCACAAAAAACAATAAAACTACAAAACAAAATATATTGTCCATTCCACATGACTTATGACAATCAAAACTCTGATGGACTTACCAAAATGATGTTGGACATCTGCATATGTTAAGTGTGATAAATATAGGTTATCATGCGAGTGTGTTTTGGGATGGTTAATATCCTGCATTAGGAATAATCATTGTATTTAGCGAGCCTTGGCGAGACATACATAGTGTTTATTCCTAATGCAGGATATTAACCATCCCAAAACACACGAGTGTGATAACCTATTTATCATACAATGTCATTTTTGCTTTATAAATTTTAAAAATGCGATTTCAAATGCCACAAATCATGAAACTAAATTTCGTGGAATGTCTATGACGTCACAAATATGTGCGGAGTAATACGTTACGTCACATGCCCAGTGACATAATTTTCTCCTGATCACTCAGCGGTCATCTAGTTCCCAGTAAGCTTTCATGCTAAAGCACGTATTGTTGTCAACAAATCTTAGCTTACGTTTGAAAAATAACAACAAACTCACGTGGAACTTCAGAAACCTTCAATTAACCTTTTGAACAACCAAATACGCTTTAATGTTAGCGTGACACTGTGCACCGTTCTCTCGCTAACACTGACAGTCGGTCGGGGAAATGATGTTGCTATCTTTGTAATCTACTCCATCTATCAAAACCAGGCATGAATTTTCTGGGATCAAAGCACTGACAGTACCGTAACCACGGCCGTCAATCCGGACACGACCGCCGACCCTTGACGCCATGTTTGTTTACACTGTGAAAGTAGTCACTGAAATTTGCATATGGCCTCTCTAATTTGCATCGATATCCGTATATGACCCCAACGGATACCGAAAATATCCGTTGGCTTTATCCTGCTGAGAACACCATCCATTGTATGATAAAAGATCAACTTTTCATGTAGGAAAAGGGGATATAGCCCCCAGGGAACAAAGACAGTAATGACATGCATAGTGCAAGTTTTTGCCAGGGTATGTGGTACACAATATGCACATATTCATCACTGGTATCTGTGTTTGTAGCACAGTAAAACAACTTTCACTTTGAATAGTCTTAGCATGTAATGTAAACACATGGATATGCAGGCTAAGTATTTCATCACTGACAGATTAACAACCTTTTCCTGTATGTCCTTTATGTTTTTCCAATATTTATCCAAGGTCAGTATTGGGTACACAGGAGGTCAATGTGCCATCACTATTTCAAAGCTTATGACCTGCAAGATAGGACCAATGTGAACACAATACCTGATATTTTCACTGATGACTCTCCTGTATCAAAGGGTGAAGACAACCCATCGGCTAATGATTCAAGAACAACTTTTACAGCTCCAACTCTAGGTAATGTGATGTGATTCCAAACAGGATAGTTGTTTTTCTCTGCATATCTGTGAAGAAAAAAGGTTTTTATTGAAAAACAGACCATTGCTTTCATCATATTTTTCATGTTTGAGGCGTTTATATTGTAAATTCAGAAATTGGAAGCAAGATCATTTCAGAATAACTTGAGTCAACATCACTTTGAACAGTATTTAGTTATATCATAGTACATGTATGTAAGTTTTAAAGTTGCAAGAATAGTACTGACAAAACAAGGAATATAATCATGGGAAATCTGGGATTCACATGAAAGGATTGAGGCATGCCCAAACATACAACTACACCTTTGATGACTGGGCTGATTGTTTTACCATGCCTCAACATTTGATTGAGCAGAAATTTCTAAATGAAAATCAAAATCAATGGGAGGTAATATGAGACCTCAAGAACCCTCAGAATGGGCCCAAGGTTAGTGTTGATTTACTTCAATATGAACTATGTAGATATAAGGGATAGTACAATGCATAACATGAATGTGAAATCTGCATTAAATTTGTTATAGGGTTACTCCTGTCTATCAGTGAGTCATGGAATTACACAAAACTATACCTGGTAGCATCAGAAGAAAAACAGAATGTATAAACTATACACAATGTGAGTTGCACACGTCATGTGAATAACAGTAGTACTCTTCATAATTTAATATTTCTTTGTGAATGAGATTGCAAACTGAAGATCTAATAATTGACTGTACTAATTGAGTCACTTCAATGAGCTTCAAGGGGATAGGTGCTTTTGAGGTGAGCAATGACAGCAGCTTGCTCGGACAACCACAGTGAATGTCCGCCGAGCTTGTAAGTCCGGGTAGTGACAAAGAAGAGACCAAGTCTCTGTTATGACTTGTCTTTTCCTTTGAATGGGGCAGGATAGCAGAGGAGGATGCAGACACTTTCTTAACATCTACATACTCATCCCAGGAAACAGCTACAGACCTGACATGATTTCCAATTACTCTATGGAAGTATCATTCTTGGAGCTTAAGTTCTTAGATCTAGTCTTCCTCCTTTTGGAACAAGAAGATTCCATGCCTATTCTTAAAGAACAAATAAACTTTGTTTTTTTGTACTCTTTTAACTATTACATATGAAAGATTTGTGGTTAGACTTATGCGGAACACCAAATTTATTCTTTAAAAACTTGTGGTTAATTACTACCGAGCAATTAAAAGTTGCCCAAAAGTCGCCTGCTTCACTCTCGCCCGCCAATGAAACCGCAGACAGGTTACGTAACTCTGTCGCCAGAGCACTGCAGTGACGTCATATGAGGAACGATTTTCAGTTAGTTGTATAGAAAGTGTGTAGCACGCTCATCATTTTGATGATTTCGACATCAACGACGACATGCCGAATCGTTACTTTGTCGTCAATTGCTCCTTGGGGTCCGGCGATGGTGTCACCATGCACAGATTACCACAGGACCCCGCAGTTCGTGCTAAACGGGTTATGTTTGTGAGTGCGAAGCGAGCCTTTTGTGGAAGCCTGAAACGATATCTTACTTGTGTTCAGATCGCTTCACGGAAGTTAAAGAATCAAACCTACTTACTAGTTGTAGTAAAATATGTATATGATTGATGACCATAAAGATTTTCCATGACACAACTTGTAAAATAACGATTTCTTCCTCGGAAGCGAGGTTGTGGTCGAAGTAACAATAATATTGTAAGTAGTATTATATTGACACACACCTCGCTTCCACGAGAGAAATTGTTATGTAATAAGTTATGTCATGTTAAATCCTATTGGCCATCAATCAAATACATATTTTCCTACCAGTAGAAAGTAGTTTTGATTTTGTAACTTGGTGAAAACAAACCTAAATAGCATTTATCCTCAGACTGGCGGATGTTCGCGACAGGGTGCCATCCATTTTTGAAAATCGTAAAGTGACGGCTAAGGTCTGTTAGAATTTGGTGGTAGAAGCGAGGTGGGTGTCGAAGTCACAATACTGCACGATAAATTTCTTGCTACATTCACATGGTTAACGTCCACTCACCAGTATGTAGATACTAGTCAATGTGCGTCTTTATATTCGGTCTTATAATCCTAATTAGTTTATTATCATACTTGTATGCATTTTGAAACTAAACAAAAAAGCAGACGATCTGCTGATACTTATAGTGAATTTATAACAGAACTGTAATATCTAGACATTTTATAGTTTGCCAATGTGAATCATAATTCGCACACACACCCTAGTGTATGTTGTCTCATTACACTTCAGGGCAAAAACAATGATTCTGTTGAATGCGACGACAAATGAATAAAAACAAAATGCAAATATTAAAATTAAAACAGATTAAAGTTATAGGAACAATGTCAGGCTATTACCTTGTTCGAGGAATGCATCCATAAATATCCACAAAAATCTGAGACATGCCATTCATCTGCAGCTGTTCCAAGTGACTGTCTTTTAACAGTTTAATATACGAAAAAGTGATAAATCTTTTCAGGTATTTCACATTGGTGTATAGTCTCATTGGTCACCCAAGATAGCACACCTGGCAACTAATTGCATAATGTCCGCCCTTCTTTAAAAACAGTAATTTAGTTACCGTAGCCAATAATGGGCAATAATGTATTGCCGGTTAATCCTTTGAAAGAAGGACGTTGTTTTTACGCAGACACCGACACGACAGAGTGTATTCAGTATAGATTAGTAAATCTACATACATAAACACTACCTTTTGACAAATCCGCTGTGTAAGAGAAAAGTAATTAATCAATCAGCGTGTTATCGGTTAATCCTTTGATCGATGTTTATAATGTTGAATATTTACTCCAGACACAAGAAATGCCAAATGGGAACCTTTGTCGGGTAATCTAAGTGTGTTACCACTAATTATACCTGTTATAAATTCATTAACTGACCATCAAGTGAATGATGACAAATAACATGTGTAGGTTTATACAACCTAACACGGGTTACAACAAGGGAGTATTAATTGCTGTATTGCATGTGGAAACTTATGGGCCCGACACTGTTTTGAGAATACAAACAGAACTTCAAGAAATACATATAAGCATTTGCTGTGTGTTGTAACTGTATGTACCTAGTACCTTAGTAAATTTTCAGATTCTTCTAGCAATGGCAAAGTAGGGTTGTTTAGTTTACCGATTCAAATAAATCAAATGTCAGTTTTTAATATCATACGTAATAGACGTCATATTTTTACATGACATGATTAAATATCGAGGTAAAAAAGAAATGGGATCAATTTGGATCAGTCATTATACAAATAAGGCCTAACGACACCAAGCGATTTTGACAGAATCGTCTATGAAAACAAGTTGTAACTCGGAAACTAGGCAAAGCAGGAGACAAAATTAAATGACAGCAGATTGTGAGAACATATAGCTTTCATTTTCCACAACAGTTGTCATGATTTCAGGTTTATACAAACCTGTAAACAAGATAATTTACCCCCTGAAATGTACATGAATTCTGCATCGGTCCTCATATCTATTCCTCATATGACGTCACAGAGACGCCCCGCTCTGATTGGTTGAAATTTCATTCGCGGGTGAGAATTGTGCACTGTTGTCAAAAAGGTCGATTTAAGTTAATTAAAGACCGAAGTGAGTAGTTTTAATGACGGGGTTTCACTTATAGCGATGCCAGTTAGTGATTTATGTATTTGTACCCCCTAGAGTATATGTGATCTTTAACCCACCAACTCCTACATCATACCTTGAATCTAGAATAGAATAGAATAGAATAGAATAGAATAGAATAGAATAGAATAGAATAGAATAGAATAGAATAGAATAGAATAGAATAGAATAGAATAGAATAGAATAGAATACTTTAATGCCTTTTCAGGAATTTGTGTTACATCAACAGAGCTACTGACACATCAGAGAGATACAAAACATATTTACATAAATTCATTGATTTAGGTATCTTCACATTTGTTTAAGAGAGATATGGTGCTTGGAATAAAGGATGTATGGGCTCTCTTAGTTTTCACAATTGGAACTTTGTAGCGGCAGCCTGAAGGAGGTTGCATTCAGAATTTAAGTAGTGAGTACGATCAGATATGATTTTGACAGCTTGATTCACGATTTGCTGCTCATATATTGATGATAAACATTCAAATCTGACTCCAGCGATTTTACTTACTGTGTTAACAATTTTGTCTATTTTAGATTTGAGATGAAATGAAATGAGAGTGACCCGTACCAACAATGGAAGGAAAATGTTAAAATACTCTGAACAGATGCTGCATAAAAAGATGACATCAGAGATGAGTTAACATTAAAAGATCTCAGTTTACGCATGAGATGAAGACGTTGTAGACACTTTTTGTATAGGGCTTCAGTGCTAATGTCGTCTTTATACAGTTCTTGAGAATCAGTGTCGTTCAGTTTGCCGACAATTGCTGCATCATCTGCGAACTTTACAGTTGAACAGGTTGAATTCGAGCTTGCACAATCATTAGTGTAGAGGGTGAAAAAACAGGAGATATTACACAGCCTTGTGGTGCACCAGTGTTGGTGGTCCGTTTACTCGATACAGCCCCGCTAACCTTCACGTACTGCTGTCTGTCCACAAGAAAGTTTTCGATCCACTTGATGAGGTATGAGTTAACGGTTTCTGTATCATGATATGTAGCTGGATGGTGTTGAACGCAGATAAAAAGTCAATGAAGAGGATCCTGATGTATGACTTAGGTGTCTCTAGATGTTTTAAACATTATTAAGGAGTGACTGTGTGGCATCAACAACTCCTCTCATTGACCTGTAGGCGAACTGAAGCAGGTCCAGTTTGTCTGCAACTTCCTGTCGGAGATGTCTCAACAAGATGCGTTCCAGCGACTTCATTGCTATAGATGTGAGAGCAACTGGCCTGTAGTCGTTGAGTTCTTTAGGTTGTGTCTTTTTAGGAACTGGTACAATTTCTGATGTTTTCCAGACTCAAGGTTGTCAGGTCCTTTTGCTTTTATGATGTTAATTCTGGAGAAGCTTCTGATATATGGATACAACTTTCACCATCCTGTACGGCTTCACTA